GCTCGGTGGGGTGATTTTGGTCAACAAGCCGGCAAAATTTTTGTTTTCCTTGAAATCAAGTCACTGTTTTTCTCACAAATGTGCACTTTCCGAGGATCACGACTAACGGGGGGGAAATGGCGCTTGTGATTTGATAAGAACGGTGGCGAAATTCGCGGAAAACCACGCGTTGCAATGTTTCAAAATAAAGCAAGATGTTTGCACCAAACAGACGAACGAAGCACGCAGACGAAAGAACGAACCGCACGCCACGAGAAATTCCAACAGATTGAGAGAGCCTCCGACAACAACGCTGCTCTCAGCCGGTGTCGGCTGCGACTCAGTGATGCCCATTTAGCCGTTTTCTATTAATTGTCGCTGATATGGCATATTTATTAATTTTAGACTTTTATTAGGATTGTTTTGACTTTTAATTTAATTAAGTAATTAATTATTTAATTTAACCTAACTCTAGTAAAATAAAAAAAAAAAATTAATAACAATAGTACCAATATGACCTGAGGAAGAGCTAGCCTTTTATAGAATTACAAAAATATTTGAAGTTACTCAAGGCTGAATATATTTTCTAAAGTTTTTAAGAAATAGGAATTCAACCCAAGGAAACCAAGGAAACTGTATGAATAAAAAATAAATTAAGGTGGTATTTTTGGTTTTTTAATAAATAACACTCTAGGCTCTACTTTAATTAAATTTTGTTTCATGTATGCAATTAAAACCTGCACTTCCACATGTTGATTAATTTTGTCTATATACCAAGTTGGCATCACTGACGACGGCTGCCGCACCAGCTGAAGCAGCAGCAAGGCAAGGCAAGCCACCCGCTCATTCACGGTTGTTGTTGTTTTTATACCCGGTACTCGCTGAGTGCAAGGGTATGTTAGTTTGTAGAACGTGTATCCATGGGATAGCGTATAGTGAGGGGGGTTTACTGGTGATATATACTCTTGATCAGTACTAAGAAGATTACTAATATAATCTTGTACTTCGGGATACAGATGTAAGGTCTCTTTCTTAATGCATTTAATATGAAACTAACAAACTAATTATTTCATAGAAACTAACTAATAATTTTTGAAGGGATTGACTAGGAACATTATTTAGTCGATACTCTATTAAGGCCGTCCCCTACAATGGGCGCTCTTTGCCCCTCGCTGGACAGGGAGTGGGAGTTGAAACGTGACTGGGGGAGAGGGACGGAGAGAAGAGCCTTCCTGCGTAGGGTGGTTCGGCTGAGAATTTTCGGTCAGTTTTCAGGTCAGTTTGCGCCGGCGCAACTTGATTTCGATGTTGGCTTTATTGTTGTTGTTGGTTTTCGTTTTTTTTTATGTGCTGCTCGGGTTGGTAATGATCTTCGTGCATGTGGGTTGCTGCTGCCATGGGTGTCGCCGGCGGGGGTTCCACAGGGTGATCTTAAAAAGTGTCTTTCCGAAATCTCCTATATGACTGTATGTTTTACATTACCAGAAATTATCCTAAAAATCAGTTCTATATCACATATGGCCCGAATTAAACTATTTTGATGCGGATGGACCCCCCCTTAAGTGATCCTGTCGCCGCCCATGGTTTCTGCGTTATTGTGGCAATGGAGGAGTTGGCTACGACTGTTGCGTTCATTAGCGGGCCGAGGCTTTTTTGGGTTTGTTATATGGCCAGAAGGAGGGCGTGCAGTACATGGTTCAGGTAGACACATAATGTATCTACAGTGGAGATAGCCTATATTTGAATCTTTTCTTCAAATTTCTTGTAGATTTTTTATTCGTTAAATAAATTGCTTCAATAAAAACAAACTTTGATTCTTATGATGTATCTCATGTATCGAGTTATCACTGTTCTTATAAGCTAATTCCGTATGAGTATTGGTGTCAATTGGGTGGCGTGGGCTTTATTTTAGCCACATTCGATTTGGGGTTCAAGACTTTCCGTTCAACCTCTGCCTCTGCGGCGGGCCTGTTCCATAAATCTATATACTATCTCCGATCCATTGCCATGCAAGCTGACTGACATGACTCATAAATGGGAAACTCCCTGTGCAGCAGGAACCGCAACAGTTACTACTATGAGTGAATGAAATTGAAAGTTATATGCCTCCAATCAATGGGGGCTAGTGCATCATCTTGGCGATGACGCTGATTTTGATCAGGCAACTGGTGTATATCCCCCTGCGAGAGAAAACAATGATGCGTTGTTGCGAAAAATGCATATGGTGCCATAAGGTGGACAAGGGGTCACTGAGGTTAGGTTAAACCGACCTGAAAATGCACTTAATTTCTTACTAAATACCAAAATATATTTTTATATTTCGTTACTAACTAGTTTCATAATATTTCCACCAAACTATGCACATTTTTTCTATTTTTAAAAATTATCTGTCGATAACCTCTTATTGTTTTCGATATGCCCTCTCAGTAGGGTACTGGCAAACAGGTTGGTCAGCGAAATGGAGCAGTGTGAGTTCACTGAGCACCCTACTTTGTCTTTCAAGTGGAAGTGGAAGTGCCTGAAGTTGGAGGAGGAGATGATGGGCACTTCGACTGAAGCTGAGGGAAGAGCCTGGAACCGGTTCGCGAGCAGCCGTCACTGCTGGCCGACATGTGGGCCACCATCTCGGGTCTCCCCTGAGATGTTCTGTCATTGGGTGGACCCGTTAGTCCATCCTTGGACCGGTGCAAGTTGTGATATAACCAGGGAGCCCCCAGAGCACCGTAATGAGCCCGGCCAATTACAGCAGCACATGGCTTCCTTCCATTCCGACAACGAAATACAAAAAAAAAAAGAAACCTGTTGCCCCTGAAGATCATGGCGAAGCCCTTTTGCGTTTTTGGAGAAAGTTCCCTCGCCTGGGTAGGGCTTCCCACCTATGGGGCGCCACATTTTGAAGAGGAAATCTGCAGGCCCATACCGGAGGGGTCGAAGTGCTTGCACTTTGTCACGTCTCATTTAACTTGGGAACCCCGGGGTGGTTGTGCGATCGTTGGTTCCCACTGACGGGAGCTCCCTCCCTCAAAACTATACAAACTGGCACTCATTCAAGGTGCACACAGAATAAAAACGGGTTTTAAAATTTGAATTGGAAATTAAATATAATACTACCTGCCCGAAATGTCATATTACACACAAACATTCCATGATCTTTTCAGTAAAATTTAAGATCACTTATATATATTTTTCTGAGTGTAGAATCACCCCTTGATGAGTGGGTGTGGAACGGCCACGCATGCGCAATTCGCTCCGAACTCCCAACTCCACGCCGCTTTCTGTGAGTGGGTGGACGGTGTAGATGTGTGAGTTTTCCAAGAGTGTGATGTGAGTTTGGTGTTGGGTTGGGTTGGGTACAGTCTCCGCATGGTTTGGGTTGCGGTCGGGTGAGTCATTGCGTTCTTGGCCCCTGGGCGGTTTTAGAGTATGAGAGAAGTTGATTCAACAGGAAATAGTCTGTGGCTAAGAATGAACTTGATCACTAAACTTCAGTGAGTCAAGTATTATCTCTTATATTGAATTACTTAATATCTGGTCTATTATCTTTCCAATTTGCAGGACTAATCGTTCCAATGACTAAAATCAATTCCTGTCGTCAAGTAAAAAGCAATTAAACTGTCAGTCTATATAAGAAACTTGAAATACACAACTAATTTCAATATATACATATATATATACGTTTTAATATGTATCTCTATTCCATAGAGACGCCATCAAACAAAATTCCATCGTTGCTGGGTTTGGGTGCCGGTACACCCAACTCTTCCACAAAACATATACAACTGATTTATATATGCTGGCATAATCCCTAGCAAATGCAATTCGAGAGCATACAAATTGCATTTTCTATATAATAAAATATATATAAATGCATAAAATATGTGCGTGTGGTTATATTTTTATATGTGGCTCTTGAATGCAGTTATTTGCATTTTCCACCAGACACTCCCCAACCACCCATCGAATTTTCATACATATATATGGAGCCTGACAACCAAAAACCACACATTTTTAGTTTCCATTTGACTCCATTCCGCACAAACGGAATTCATCAAAGGCAAAATAATCAAATACAAATTATATAATGCACATACATGCATATATCCCCAAACACACACACACATACACATACATACGGAAATGCACATACAAACATGTCGCATATGTTGCATAAAAACCGAAACCCAAAAAACCATATGCAAAAACCTCCCAACACCCCCTGAAATCGTAATTGCATTGGAGAGAGAGCCAAATTCAGAGAGAGAAAGCGCAAGCCTGTGCCGTTATTTTCCGTTCAAGAGAGTAAGAGAGAGAGCGGAAGTTGAACTCTCGAAAGTGCAGCACAATTCCTTTGCACTTTTTTGAAGCGGGGGTGTGTGTGTGGGTTTTTGGAAGGAGGGGTGGGGGAGGGGAATATAACAAAAATTGTTATAGACACAAAATTTATGATGTGCTCCGGCTGTGTGAAAAACAACCACCCACCCCCAAAAAAAGGGGGAGGCTGAAAAATGTGGGTGTGGGTGGCTTGTAGTTTTCAAATGCCAAAACAGTTGAGCTATTGTTGGATGGTTGGATAGAGAGAGAGAGAGCAATATCCTAAAGAGAGCCAGGGGGTGGGTTGTGCATTGTTTGGGGGTTGCTATACAGTTTTACCGTTGCATAGAGCGCCTGCTCCACACACCAATACCACTGCGATGCCTCATGTTTTCAAAGTATTGATGATGGAAAAATAGAAGTTGGCGCTTTTTAGTTGGGGGTTGTTGGCGCTAGTTGTTGTTTTTGCTCAGTGTATTTGTTTTCAAGTGTGAGTGTGTGTGTGTGGGGTGTTTCTCTGTGGAAAAAGTGCATACCGAAAAATATACGCACACGCACACACACAAACGCAACGCATTGCGGAAAAATCAATAAATCACTCGACTGGGAAAATATATTTTAATTGCTTGGAAAATCAATTAAAGTTTTTAAATCTCTAGTTTATCGTTGATTTTGTATTTTATTCTGGTTTTCTTCAAAAAAAAACTTACCAACATGTTCGCAGAAATTTTTGCGGCCAGCCCCGGAGTATGCAACACTTTTTGGCCTCTCTTGTCAGGGCACTCAACTGCACACTATAGTTATTTTCGATTGATCGCTTTTCGTTTCCGTTTCCGCTTTTATACTATTTTATAAATCACTGCCGTTTAGTTGCTAAATGCACTTTTTGCGATTTTGCGGAATCGCACCGCTTTCCTTCACAACTAACCTCATCAACACTCACACACCGAATGAGATTTTGTGACTGAATGAATTGCCGCGGAGGAGCGGATCCTACGGCTATGAATACACCACCCCTTCGCCATCGGCGGGTGGTTAGATGTGTGGGTGGGTGGGGGTGGGGCTATTTGAAACTCCTCACCCCCCTCTGTCGTCGTTGTAGCGTTGTAATACTGTGTAGTTTTGTTATTGCGCTGCGATGCGTTGTTTAGTTTGCTGTTGTTGTCGCACCGATTGCCTGTCGCGTAATAATAATACCGCTGCGACGTTGTGCAATTGTTGGAAAAGCTTCCTGTCTGCGCCGCTCTTCCTCTTCCTCGTTCTCGGCCCCGCTTCTCTGATTTTCCTCCTTTACAAAAAGCGCGCGCATTCCACAACGCTCCCACGCATAACAAGTGAGTGTTCTTCAGTGGCTTTCTCTCTCTGGGTCTCTCTTCCTGGTTTTAGGCTCTCCGGCTAGTTGACTCATCCCCTGGCGGCCATGTTTATTTACAAAAAGTTTAACGGTATTTATGCGCTACAGCAAGGTCCTTTGGACTTATGAAAAGCGAAGTTTTAATTGTAACATTCAATGATTCTTGAGCGGAAGAAACAATATCTATAATTATAAAAAACTTATTTAAAAAAAAAAAAATTAAAGTAAAAACATAAATGACTTGGAGAATTCTAAAATGAAAACTATATTCTTCCAAGCAGAATTTGTTTTATAAAATGAGCTTACCTAGCTACCAAAGTAATTAGCTTACTTTTTATAACTTTAATACATTTTTATCTTAGCTGGATAATTTTAATTAATAATGACATAAGGAATGACTGAAGGAACTATATTTTTCAATATTTTAAAAATATATTCCCTTCATTTTAATTTATTTTGTTTTAAAATGTTTAAATTTTTTTTAAAGGAGTATGATTGCATCGTTAGCGCCACCTTTTGTGTAAATTGGGTACCAGAGGATTGTCAGTCAAGACAACAACCATGGAGGGAAAACTTTTTATTTGCAACACTAAACAATCAAAAAAATTTTAAATTTCCATTAAGTTAATTTATTTTTTGGCTGCTTCCGAAAAAGGTATTGGGCTAAATTAATAAAAAAAACGTGGTTAACTATTATTTAATGTGGATCGACTGGGTTATTAAAATCTAGGATTAAAATCCAGGATTCGGAAGTGTTTTAAGGCACGTTGTTCCTTTTTTCGAATAGACAGTTAAATGAGTCTAGAGGGAGGACTATCATAGTGACTGACTGTTAATCATAGAACTTAAAGCAAAAAATATATATAGGGAAACTAGTAAGGGTACTAGTACGAATGTCCGCCAATGGAATCTCTGATTAATTTTATCCTTTTCACCTGAAAGCCAAAAGTATTCATTAGATTGCTCAGTCGAGCGACTGACATTTTCTATATTCTGTCCAATTTTTCAATTATTTTTTTTTCACATTTCCTTGAGTTGTGTTCCCGTTTTTATTTTTATTTTTTTTGGTGGCACCCAAGTTTTTAATCAAATGGCACATGTGACCACACCATAACCCACACCGCAAGCCCACAAACTCCTCTGCTAACCTAATTTTCCAGTTGCCTTTATGGCTGCATACACACACACACACACACACACACACACACACTAGTGTATAATTTTCGTCCTTTTTCGAGAATTTTCTGCAACGTCAACTGTCTCAAAAAGTTTTTCATCAACGTCACCAACAACAAGAACGGTGATTTTCTTTTTTTATTTTCCTACTTAACCGTTTAATTTTTATTTTCTACCATATTTGGTATATTTGCTTTTTTTTTGTAGTTTTCCGGAGATGGCCTCGATTTTGGTGGGTATTTGGGAGCGATGCTGCCGCATTTTCACCGCAAGCAAATTCAATGCAATTAAAAAAAATAATCATAATGGGAGAGTTGAGACGGTTTTCCCCTCAGTAATTTGTCTCCAGCTGGGAAAATTAAAAGGTACATGAAAATAAAACTGTGGCACTTTTGATTCTTCTGCTGTTGTTATTGTTGTTGCTGTTTGCGAAATTATGTTTTCGTTTTTGGTTTTTTCTGAAGGCAAGTGTACTTTTTGGTTTATGCATTTAATTAAAAACGAATGGGAAGACCTCAGAGCCCAAAGCCAAAGCCAGAGCCACAATGAAAACGCAATGAAAACGAATAAATATGAAAGGAGTGACAGTGGCAGGAACAAGTGCAGCAATAGAGATAGACAGAGTCCACAGATAGACTAGACAGAGAGGCAAGAGTCGGACTAAAGCTGCTATACTTTGGCTAAAATATGCAAACAAGAAACGGAAAAACTTATTTAGACGCCGCACCAGACAAAAACAATAAAAAAATACACACAAAAACACAAAAGTTGTTAAAGAGCCACAGAAGCCAACGGAAAAAAAGGCAAATTGTTTCTTTGGCTGCTTATGAAAATGGCGTCACACACAGATACTCGCACTCGCACACCATGCCACATATGTGCATTTTGCAATGTATGTGTGTGTGTGTGTGTTTGTGAAACTCCCACGCCCCTTTGTGTGTATTGGTGTGTGAGAATTGGCCGTCTTTGTTAGTTTTTTTTTCTTATTTTTTTGTTTTTAACCAAACGCAGCACAATGGGACCTGGCTTTTTTATTCATCCAAACGGCCAAAAAACAAAAAATGGTTTCAATTAATGGGATAATAAATAAAAGCACGGATGACCGATATTGTATTTCAGTCTCTTTTGGCTCGCAATAATGCCCATAATTTACATATTAATCTTGAATTGGGCAGGACTTTTTCTGTAAACCAACAAATGATACAGTTTTGTCTATATTTAAATGGAAATAATAACTCTTAAGGGGAAATTATACAGAAATTCTATAGATTTATCTGGTTTAAGTCTTTGGGATATTTTTTTTGCTATTATTTAAAAATTAGTCTTCGACTAAATCCAGGAATATAAAATATTAAATCATGTTAACATTTTTTGTATTTTAGAAAAGGTTATTTTTATAATATTTCTTTATATGATAATGATACATACATATATATTTTGGTCTTATTTGCTGCCATATTTTCATATTATTAGTTGGTTAAATATATAGTTCTTTAATTGTAAAATACACTATACAGTTTTTAATTTTTTTTTAAGTTTTTTCTTCCGCTTTTTCTTAAAAAACAATGAAATGAAATAAAGACCTTTGCTACCATTGCTTTAGAAATAGTGTTTGTATTAATTTTAATTATAAACTTAACTTAAATAATAATAACAAGTGGGTTAGTTAGTCAGGAAAATCCGAGATGATATAGCCTTGACCGTATGTCCGAATGTACGCTCCTCTTGTCTTTTGGATTTTTTCAAAAAAAATCATAGCTCTTAATTTTTAAACCATCAAAGTCATATTTTTCACAATTTTAAGAATTACATCCAAAGAGTTCTTGGGTCAGAAAATCCCATACATTATATCTACAATGCTACTTTAGCCACTACTTAGTATACCAAAACCTTTATTTCCTTGCTTGTTTTTGCCCTCTTATTTAAACTTCTTGCATGTGGCCAAAAGATTTTTGCCCTCTTTTGCCAGTATTTGATTGAAGCTTTTGTTGTTGTTGTTGGTGTTGGTTTGGTATTACCAATGCCTGGAAAACATAAAACTACGAAACAAAACAAAAAATTCTCTCACTATTGTTTGGGGCGCGTGGGAAGCGTTTCCAATGTTTTGTTGCGTTTGGAAGAAACTTTTTTATGTTTTCTGTTGTTGCTTCTTTTAGCTGCTATTGTTATTGTTGTTGTTGTTCTAGAAGCTAAATCAGCAGTAGCAGGACCCCGCCCACCAACCTCAAGCTGTTGGCCGCCCACTGGGGTGGCTTATAACCCCATTTGCAGTGGAAGAAATTATTAATACATAATTCATGTTTAATTGTTCACCATTTTTTGCTGCTTCTGAAGCTCCATCTATATCTATATATCTCCATCTTCATCTACATTTTCATCTTTAGCTTTTTTGTTTAATTATTCGGGATGAGGGATGAGAGAAGGAGGAGGGGGAGGCCCTGACGGACGGAGCATTTGGTCTAATGGCTGCCAAAGTTGATTGGAACTTTCGCTGATTGAGCTGCATTTAGTTTTCCGAGATTGCAGCGATCAATGAGCCCCATCCGTGCCACGGCCTCCCCCCCCTGATGACAGATGGGCGGTAGGGCGGCAGGCGGCGGTGGGTCGGCAGGGCGCGGATAGACAGACATTTCAATTAGCTGAAAATTGTGGCAGGTGGCTGGGAGGGTGGTAGGGTGGGTGAGCTGGCGGGGACGGGTGGCACTTTGAGTCGGATTTTGGGGTCTTGGGTCTCGTTGTCAGTTACAGTTTTGCAGCCTGCGGCCAATGAAATATAGATGAACGAGTTGACGGGTTGAACGTTGCACGATTCACTGCACAAGAAATAAATGCAGGGATAAGGGAGGGCTGCAAGGGGTAGAGCAAAGCTTAAATACACTACACCTCTGTGCCACACAAGGGCGGTGGTAAAGAGGGGAGAGTTCTATTAAATTTAGTGGAAAATATAAGGATAATTAGGAGAGTAACACATGAGTCTATTTAGGTCCTTTTAAATCTAAAACAAAATCTTTTAATAATTCTCTAATTAAATTCTATTTAAATGGCTTTTAATGCCTAATTGCCTTGAGGACTTTGAACCCCTTTTAACCCTTTTTCTGTTAGCCCCTGAAAACGCACACATGGAGCATTATTTTCATTACCGCGCTGCGGGTACCCAAAAAAGTTGCGGGTGGTCATGATTTTTCCCACATCCCACTCTACACCTCTCTCTCTCTCTCTGTGTCTACCCTTCTCTCTTGCACAGCGGAAGTGCACTTCTCATTTGTTGATGGTCGGAATCAGGGGGTGAAGTGCATGGAGGGCCGGTTGCTGCAGGTTGAAAGTTTCAAGTGCAACAAAAACTAGCGTCCAGTGAATTTAACTTCATGTCGACAGAGAAGTTATTGGCCCTTTGGTACCCCAGTACCCCAGCCCTCTCATGCCCCATTGACTTTACTCTGGCGAACCCTCATGCTACTGAAAAATATTCGGGTTTGCTTTTAGAATTATTCAGATTTTCATTTGGCTTATGTATCCAGAAGAGTGTCTGTGTGTGTTTTTGGATATTTTCGGTGGTTGGTTGCTTGGTGACTGCTACTTGGAGAGATTTCTGTGTTTTTGGTACTCGCTGTGGGTAATTAATTTGTGAAAACAAACGAAATTCGCATTTCAACGCCCAGACAAAGCAAATCTTATTGGGATTGGGTATTTTGATTTTTTTCGTTGGAATAAGAATAGAGTCATTCCGAGACAGGGTTAATCCGAGTCTTTTGTGGTCCTTTTTGAGATGAAGTTGGGGCAAGAGGATTATCAGAAGAGCTTAAAACAGATTCCCAGAGCCATAGAACTCAAAAGAAAAGAATACCAAGGATATTAGAACGTGGGGAGAGTTTATGAAAGAAAATCTACTAAATGAGCTTATGACATTTCTAAATAAGTTAAACGGTAGTAATAAATAAAAAAGGTAGTAGCTTAATATTTAGAAGTTTATCTTTAATTAGGGGGTTATAAACAAAAAAAATGCAATTTTATCGATTTTTTTTTGACACTATAGAAAATATTTATTAAAAATATTTTACCGACGTTGATTAGTACATGTTTCTGGTACTTGTTTAATGTTTTCATAAAAAATATTAAATAATAAAAATGTTATAGCCGAATTCCAAGAATCTCTTTTTTCGATGGTGTCTTGCGGTGGACATCATATCCCAAGAACGGTTCATCAGCAATCAAAACTTCAAAAAAATTTCGTTAGTATATTGTATGGCCTAGTCCCCTGGACGATGGTTTTGTAAAAATTTTGATTAAAAAATTGACGACGGTTTTAACAAAAAATGTACTTTTTCAAGGTATAAGCTTTTCGATTTTTATGCTCTAAAAAGGAAGTTTTCAAAAAAATCTAGAATTCTTCGTCCAAGGATTAGCTATTATTATAATAAATAAGTTGTCAAAATTTGGTGTTGATCGGATTAATAGTTTTTTAGTAATCGTGTCTACTAAAAAAAGGTAATTTCGAAAAACAAGATTCTAAGATAATCGCGTTTAAAGTTTTACAACATCGGTTCTAATGCTCGGATTGTTATAAATTTTTGGGAGAGTATTCTCAACAGTATATACAAGAATATACAATAAAAATCGATTTTTCGAATCGACTGTATATGACCCCTTAAATAAACCCATTTTTTATTCTAATTGAGAATCTATGCAAGTAATTGCAAAAACTTATTAACATATCTGATCAAAACCTGACAGCCCTAACCTTAACACAGGTTATTAGTCAACACTAGAAAATTGTATAAAAGGCGAGTTCGGCCAACTACTACTTGCCAGTCTGATTTTAGGCCCATTCTGAAAGGAGTGCTTTCTCCTGTTGATTTTTTATTTTTAATTTTTATTATTTTATTTATTTTTTTGTTTAAATGAAGTTGTAGCAGGTGCTGGATTTCTTACGTATGTGACGTTGACATCCGGATTCCACGACATGTGGAATTGTTTATCATTGTTTATTTATTTTTTTTTGATATTTTTTTAATTTAATCGTTGCTGGAAGCTCATGGGATATTTTCCACTAAATGTAGATTGGCAGTGCTTGATTCTAATGATTTTTTCCACGACATGGATCAGGATCAGAATTGTTTAGTTATTTTTTTTTTTATTTTTTTATTTGATCGTTGCTGGAAGCTCATGGGATATTTTCCACTAAATGTAGATTGGCAGTGCTTGATTCTAATGAATTTTTCCACGACATGGATCAGGATCAGAATTGTTTAGTTATTTTTTTTATATTTTTTTTAATTTAATCGTTGCTGGAAGCTCATGGGATATTTTCCACTAAATGTAGATTGGCAGTGCTTGATTCTAATGATTTTTTCCACGACATGGATCAGGATCAGAATTGTTTAGTTATTTTTTTTTTTATTTTTTTATTTGATCGTTGCTGGAAGCTCATGGGATATTTTCCACTAAATGTAGATTGGGAGTGCTTTATTCGAATGATTTTTTTTTTGCATTTTATTATTTTATTTATTTTTTTTTTTTTGTTTAAATGAAGTTTTAACAATTATTAAGTTTATTTTTTTTTAATTTTTGTCTATAATAACCTTAATTTTATTTATATTTTCATATAAAATTTAACAAAAATGTCAAGTTTTAAGACTTTTTCCTTCGGCCAAAATAATAGAATTTTCTTGATTTTTTCTCGAGAGTTTTCCGACTTTTTTCTCAAGTTCCGGCTTCCAGGTTCCGGCTTTCCAAGTTTTTTTTTTCCGGCTTTTCTTTCGAACATTTTCGATGTAAACACAACACTTATACTTATATTATACTCCAACTTATATTCCTCCAACTTATACGGCTTCAAACTGTTATATGATACGCATAATACGGACTTATACCAACTTGTATAAGTTGGTACGGCTTTATAAGATATAAAATTGGCTGTATAAGTTGCACGTGTTGCCCGCGATATAAGTTGATTTATCGAGGACAACAACCGGTAGCGTGAGTTTTGTTGCAACTTGTTCGGAGGCAAGTGCATTCTGGTCGAAGAATGCCAATGCGTGCTTCGCCAAGGGCATTGAAGCTTCTGTAATTTTTGAAGCAGTAGGGACATTCGCGTCCCGTTGTCGTCCAAATACTTCCATGCCTGGTCGGCACGGCAGCATTTGTTAAACTTAAATTTAGCTCTTGAGCGAAGCTGGCCACAACTGGCCGCGCCGGCTTCGCCACGTCCTTCTCGACACCGATCAGCTCCTCCCAGGCCAACGCCGCCTCGTCGAACGCCGGCGCCAGCGGCTCCTCCATCACGTCCTCGACACCGATCAGCTCCTCCCAGGTCAACGCCGCCTCGTCGACCGCCGGCGGCGGCGGCGGCTCCACCGCGTCCTCGTCCTCGTCCAAATTCTCGGCCACAATTAACGGCTCGGCCACAGGCTCCTCCATGTGGACAGTCACCACTGGTTTATCAGCGCTTTCCTTGTTATAAAAATTGATATTCTGAGAAAAAAGAATTGATTTTAGTTATAAATAAAAAAATGCAATAAATGTTAAACATAAAATACTTACACCATAGTTTATTATTTGAATCATGTTGATTTTTTGATTAAATTATGAATTTTGAATTTCAGTTCTGTTATATTTTTAAGTTTATCGATACTCGATACTTGCACTCGATAGCAATCGATAAATTTTTAGATTTTTTCTTTTTTTTTTAATTTGGTTATTACTAATTTATGAAAATGCAAATGATTCATCTTAAATATAAGCAAATAAATACATATATAAAAACACAATAATTATTAATAATATAATAATATAATATAAATAATAAAAGAATATCATAAGTAGATACATTGGCAACCCTATAAAGGCCGAATATTTACTATTTTGGTGCAAATTGTTTTTGACCTATTTGGAATTTGTTTTAAATAATTAAAATGGACTATATTAATTCATTGGCAATGAACTTGAATTTGACAGAGTCATTTCTCACCTGGTTAAAAAGAAGAGAAGCGACTCTGCGAGAGGGGTTCACCATCATTGAGAGCAATCTGCAGTTTGTCATGGTGGACGAACCCTTTTTTTTATTATTTCGTGAGTTCCACATAAAAAATGTCAATGTAAGTATGCCTATTTTTCTATATAAAATAAATATATATATATATTTATATATTTTCAACAGAGCGCTCCTACGCATTTAAGAAATTGGAAGATCTTCGCCATAGCTGCATCGAATTTTCAGGGTCATTTGCAAATAATCTATTTGCGAACAGTAAGTAATTAACAATATTATGTATTATGTTTATATAAATTAAATTCATTTTTATAGGCATCAAGCGGCATGGAAAAGATGGGTTCAGCTGCAATTTTGCAAGGAGTCCAATTGGCAATAAGCAGCATTAGGAAAAACCCCGAGCTGACCTCCAAATTGGCTGGCGCTGTGGCAGACAAGTGCGCCGCCAATCTGGAGGCCATTCGTTATCTGCAGCGAAATGGGGTGCCAGTGCTGTATGACTTGAACCACTTCTGTGGAACAATGTTACGTCTGGACCATGTGGATGAAATTGCCACCCATCTATACAATGGGCCGATATTCACCAAGAGGAATTTTGCTCAAATCCTCTTGAATTTTAAGCGGCTGGTTGAGGGAAATGTACCCTCAGCCTTACATGACCGCTACAATGAGGAGGTAAGTTTCTCAAAATAAATTAGTATAATAATATTATTCATTTTTTTTCATTACTTCTAGCGGCTTGCCCTTGAGGCCCTTTTTAGGAATTTGTTTAACAAATTCCCAACTAGATCTTTTAGCATATGGTGGGTCAACTCCAAGCACCTAGAGAGAGTGGGGGCCAGGCTGGCCGACAAAGTGCACATCGGTGCCGAGGATGGATTTCATAAACATCCGGCCCTTGCAGATCCAAATGAGGCAGTTGTATTTATGGCAACGTTGACAACTGTCCTCAGTCAAATTATGCACAATGATTTGATGAAATCGTAAGTTTTTATATATTTATATTTTATTTCTTTAATATATATATATATTTTACAAATGTTTTTCCAGGCGCATTGCATTGTCGGAGAGCCTGCTACAGGTCCCTATGGACGAAGACGAGCCGGCTATGGACGAAGCAAATTAAATTAAGTTTTAAATTAAGAGGAATTTTGGGAGTTGGGAGGAAGTTAGAGGGGACCCGCGACAAAAAGCTTCTCATTTGTTGCAACTGGTTCGGAGGCCAGTGCATTCTGGTCGGAGAATGCCAATGCAGCTCAGACAAGTGCAACATAGCCCACCCCCGCCCACCAAAAAACATGCACTCACACACACACACACTGGAAAATGCCGTTGCTCAAGCTCACACGATAAGGGCGCAAAGAAGAAGAAGAGCCACTCGCGTGCGACTTTTGACTTTAGCTGGGCTGGTGGGAGGTTTTTTGCCATTGCGGCGCTTCTTTTTTAGCTGTTTTAATATTTATGAAAAAAAAAATGAAGCCATGCCACGAGGAGCACTGGGAGTCGCGCGTTGCAAGCCACATAAATATCCACTAAGCCATAGCACACCCACACACAGGCACCCATATGTGTAGCCTTGTGCCACCCTTAAGTGAGGGCAGGCAGAGCCGAATATCTTGGCCTCCGTATCCTGGCCACATTAAGCATTTTGTGTTGCAGCTCCTTCAGGCTGTCGAGCGTAAATTCAATAAATATGAATATAAGATACGCTCTCGGCTCGGAGGGGGCACGGCACTTGTTGTTACATTTTTCACTCACTCGGACTAACTTGGCTACCCATTACGAACGCTTTTGCGCTCCTCCGTCTATGATGATGACGTTGCTGGAGCTAAAGCTGGTTCTGAAGCCACTTTTTCTTCCGTTCCTGTTGTTATCCTCTTCGTCTTACTTACAGGATATCGGAATCTTTGTTTGCGCTTATTATTTGAAGCCTTTTCTTTTTTTTTGCTTATTGTTGTTGCCTCCTTGGACGTTTTTACGATTGACAATGACGGAGAGCGATGGGGGGGAGAGCAATCCACTGAGAAAAAAATAATGCACTTTCTTAACTAGTAGATTGGATAAGAAGATTAAGGAAGTAATGGATCATGTCCTAAAAGCCTACTTGCCTTCAATTATAGCCCTAAGAACTAAACTATATAGTATTATTCCCCAAATTTAATACCAAATTAATAAAACCAATAATAAGTACCAATACTCATAATTTCTCTACGTGCTCTGAGCAAGTGTATCCAGGAGATTGGGTAGTAAAGTACGAGGAAAATATGAAAATAATTCATTGCCTTCAACCCACTTCTAGGAACTCTGCTCCCCGCCAGCTCCTGCTCTTAGTCCTACTCCTCCTTGGTATCCTTCTCTGGCTTTTCCTAAAAGTAAAAATGAAAGTGTGCAATCGACGACAGCGTCTAGCAATAAACTCAATGGAGCCATCAAAAATCTTCGAACGCATTGAAGCTAAAACTTGCCAAAGTGTCGCATCCATATACATATGGATGTACAGACCAAGGAAAGGATATACATATACACGTATGTTTTACTATGCATGTTTATAGACGTGAGTTAATGCAATGTCCTCCCAGCTCCTCCATAGAGATGGTGGTAAATAATAAATAGAGCGGTAGGGGGGAGGCCATGATTAAAGTGAGAGCTTCTTCAGTTGGATGGGCGGGAAAGGGGTTGAGTGGATGAGTTGCACTTGGAGCTGAACTAATATAACTAATGGGCAAAGCCCATGGAAATGAGTAAGCAACAAAGGCACACTGGCATATGGTCTCTCACAAAATACCATCTGAAAGGTAAATTATTATAATTTTGTTTTTATATTCGAGCATTTCAGGGAATTACTCTGGCGGCTAGTCCTCCACATTAATGCCAAAAATTAAAGACGCATTTCGTGAAATGTTTGCCAAAATGCCGTTTTCGCTGGAAAACATTCTTACTTTCAGCCAAAGACAGTCCACCCCTGTCCAGGACAAGGGTAAATTTAATGAAAATTTCACGAAAACGACCATAACGAAAGGGTCTGTCTCGGGCGCCATTGAATAAATTTCTTCTTTTATTTTTTATTTCGATTTTTTTTGTGGGCTAGCCTAATAGGAAATAAAGCCGAAAGGCCAGAGGAAGATTCGCATATGATGGAAAGATTGAACAAAGAAAAACTTTTGCATCGAAATTAAGCTGTCTGCGAAAGAAAGGCAACCAAGGGGGCGGATTGTTAAAACGAGTAAACACCAGGCCGAACCAGACCGAGAGCTGGTAACTTTAAGTAATTCAAGTTGCCAACAAGGAGGTGTAGGCGCTTCTCAAGTCCCCGCCGAAAGGAGGAGCAGCAGCACTAGCAACACTCCAATGAAAGGATTCAACTTGGCAAAGCCAAGAGGCTTGCTGATTCTAAAAAAATATATATAATGTATATAGGAGAGTATAGAAGGAGGTGGAAATGCAAACTTAGCTGGAGCGCGGGCTTTTTGCAAGAAAATCGGAGCCAGAAAGTAGGCCAAAAACTTTCCTGATGAAGGCAGCAAATGCAATGGGATAAAGTTACGGGTGTTGGCCAAGAAGTGCATTTAATAGATTTGCATGACTTAAAGGTGGCCCCAAAGTATTTAACTTTAGTTTTTTGAAGCATCCACATAGTAATACCTTGATTGGTTGCCTTGTTGTTACTTTTAAGATTAGATATTAAATATTCAATCGACTGGCAACTGAAATCCATTAAATCCTCCGACACATCAGATTAGCAATTCCAAAAAGCCAAATAACGAAATGAAACTGCAAAATAAAGTGCAAGGAAGAGCTCCAAAGTGAATCGGACAACAATACTGGGAATTATCCGTAGGTCAAAATGCAATAAACATACAAAAACGAAAAGGGTTAGAGGGCAAAGGCAATGGGTGTGGGTGGTGGAGGATGGTGTGGCATGGAGAGTGTGAAAAATGGGCACAAAAAACACCAAAACCAACAACTAACGGCTGCTGCGGCAGAAGCGGAGGAGTGGGGGCGCGGAAGCAACAAAATGAATCCTAAACGGAAATGTCGATATTAGCATTGCAGAAGCAACAGCAACTAAAACTTTAGCAATAGCGCCAACAACAAATGCAACATGGCTAACAAGAGACGACGGCGACAGTTAGCGACACAGTCGCACAGTTTCCCAGTTGCGTTTACAGTTTACACACATGGAGCTGAAGGTTCACTGACCACACCACCCTAGCGATGGCATCGTGAGGCGGGGAAACTATGGTATAATATTCCAAAAATATAGGATTTTTATTTAATAAATAAAAGGCTTAAAATGTATAATATTCCTCTTAAAGAAGCCTTTTTTTATAATTTAAAATCCTTCAGAATTAAAAAGAAGGGAACCCAGATACCCTTGAGACAAAATCCGGAGCCTCTCCAGCTTTTATTCCTTTATTAATACCCACTAGAGTTTCGGGCCGATAACCTCCACTATTTTTTGATACAATATGCATGGCCAGTCCGCAGCACTCACGTTTGCATCTCCCGGCGAGGCCAAGCAGCCAAGAAAAAAGAAAAAGCGGGAAAAAGCGAAACAAATGGGGAAAAGTGCGCCATATTGACCAAACGAGTGCAGCATGCAGCATTTCGAAAGCATTTCAATGAGACATGGGGGTGTACTGAAGGCAAAAGGGGAATGGTGTTGGCATGGGGGGCATGGGGCATGGAGCTGGGCTGCCTATCCGTTTTGTTTTAGCCAAAGTGCGCGAGCTGTGTTGACAAACGCCAGTGGTTAGCATCTGTGAGTGTGTGTGAGTGTTGGAGTCCATATCTGCAGCTGTATTTGTGCATCTGCATGTGTGTGTGTGTGTGTTGGCAATTCAAAATGGCATGCACTTCACTAAAAACTGCGCATTTCCGGTCAAAATGACGACGACGACAACAAGAGTGAGAGGCAAGTAGAGAGAGAGAGAGAGAGAGCGGGAAAAGCGATGGCTGCTGACAGAGCCAGCCGCATGTTTGTGTGTGTGTTCCTTAGGCTATCACTGTGTGTGTGTCAGTGTGCGTATCCATATCTGTGTGTGTGGGAAAAACTTTTTTACAGCTTTAATAGTTCCACTTGGCAGTTTTGCGTCCCAAAAGTTTTTGCAACTCCCTCTTCCCCCCTCGCCCTTTGTCCCTCTGCAGCAAAGTGCGTCATAAATGTGTGTAATAAAATATTTACTTTCTTTTAGAGCGGGCGGTCGCAAGAGGGACAGAGGAAGCAGGACACTAAACCATGTCTTTCGAGGGCACGACCATATATTAGCCAAATCACATTCCCCCAGAAAAGCCCGCCCCCTGGAAGTCTACTCCCCCGCTGCCCTATTGCCAAATTGAAAAGCAAATGAAATTCAATTTTTAAGTCCTGTCTGCGCTCAGGAAAACTCTAAACATTTACCCACATCAAAACAGCATTTTTCCCTTAACCTTTCCCCTTCTTTCACTTTTTATGTTTTCCGTATTTTTTTTGCGCAATTGTTTACTTTGTTTACCCGGAAGAATTGTCCTTCTATTTTTGCGGCGTCTAGAAAACTTCATGTTGGGTCTGACATGACGATTGCCAGCCTTCGCTCATTGTTCCGCTTTTGGGGTTAGCTTTTCCCCATTTTCCGAATGCATGTCAATGGCAGTAGCCAGCCACCAGACTCGCCCTTGCATAACCCTGAATATTTGCCCGTCAACTTGGCTTACTGGCGAGGCTTAACGCGTTGGTCCAACCCTGCAACCTCCTACCTCCAAAACCCCAAAGAAGAAAGTTTCGTAGAAGGGGTTGGTCTACCCTTAATGCGTAGATGTCGCTTACAGACTTGTTTTTAGCTTGTTTCTCCTGGGAGGTGATTCCACCTGAAGGATTTTCGTCCTGATTGTCTGCAACATTTCGTTTGCCTTATCAGGATAATTGGCTGTTACAGTTGATGCCTGGCTGGATTCAACAAAAAGTATACTATTTCACTGGAAGCAAGTGAGCTTAAAGTGGATAAATAGAAATATAATTGAAAATATTCAAAATCCTCTGGAGAAATAGCAAAAGGAAGAGCTACTCTAAAGTTGTAGTAGATTTGAAAAAAAAGTATCATACATAGAAACTTCATCTGAAAGCATCAGAATTAATAACGTATGGGG